TCCCATTCCAGTATGGCTTTCACTTTGCTAGGGTACATTTCCACTCCCTCATATGGTACCCCCAGATAGTCCAAAGGTTTTTTGTGAAACTCACACTTGGACAGCTTCATGTAGAGTTGGGCTCTTTACAGTTTCTTGAGTACTGCCCTGATTATTCACATGCTCTTCAGGGGTTTTGGTGTATATTAATACTTTGTCCAACTATACCACGTCCCTTTTGTATATCACTGTCATTCTCATAAAAGGTTAGACACGCTCGGGTGGCAGTTGGAGTTCCCTCTTCCTCACTGGGCTGGGGAGAGAATTCGATGACCTGCTGCCCTATGCGTGTCTTCTTCGGCTTCGCGGGGAATCTTCCTTTTGGGCTGACTGGCAGGTGGAGGAGAAGGGACCCCAGTTGCTGCCACAGCCATGGGGGCTGCTGGCTGCCCCACACCAACAGAGAGATGGTGGAGCCTGTTGCCACTGCTCCTTGCACCGGGCACCGAATCATCCTGGCAGGTGCTGGTACCACCGGCTGCAGGATGGGAGGAGATGGACTGGTTAGTGATTTCATTCCCCCGTCCCAGACACCACTACTGCAGCACCCAGGATCACTGCTCCTTTGATCTCTAGCCCACTTAATTTTTCCCCAGTTGCTCCACTGATGGGCTGCGGGTGCCACTGGAAGTTTCCACTCGATCAGCTCATACCACTACCGTGTTTCCCCAAAAACAGGACATGTCCCGAAAATAAGGCCAAGCCTGATTTTTGGGGTGGGTGTAAATATACGCCATCCCCTGAAAATAAGCCCTAGTGATGGGATGGGCATGGCCAGCACAGGAGGCAGCCTTTCCCTTCCCCTGTCACCTCAGTGCTTCTTGGCCCCTTAATCAGATCAGCTGAGCCACTCAGGCTGCTATTCACAGCTGATTCACGGGGACCCTTCAGGTCGCCTCCTCCAGCAAATGTGGTTGCTTTTGCAGCCAATTGCGGCTGCAAAAGAAGCCGGAGGCCAAGCGACGCACCCCACATGCCTCCCACCCTCCTTACCTAATGGTGACAGTCACAGCAGGCAATTCTGTCCACCGAACAACTGCCTCATGGGTGCCACTTCGGCTGACGCCTCCAGCAAGCGTGGCCATTTTTGCCATGGATTGCAGCCACTTCTGCAGCAGGAGGCCAAGCAATGCGCCCCATGTGCCTCATGCCAGCCTTCCAAAGGGTACTGTAGCAGCAGCTATCCACAATTTTTTTACTCTTATTTTGTCCCAACTGTACTGGGCTACATGGGTCGGGACGAAATAAGGGTTAAAAAATTGTGCATAGCTGCTGCTATGGTACTCTTCAGAAGGTCTGCGCGAGGCGCAAGTCTCCTGCTGCAGAAGTGTCTGTGCCCGAGGAGCACTTTTGGGAGAGAAGGCAAAGGGGAAGCGATCGCTTGCAAACTCCCGCCTTGCTCTCACCTCTCCGCCGGGCGACTCCCAGCAGCCCCAGATGCCCAAAGCCCACGCTCGCCCGGCTCCCCTTTCCAGAGTTCCTGGCTCTTTATCAAGCGGGGTGGCAGGTGAGGTGGAGAAGTGAGATGCATGGAGGGCTCACTCCTCTTGCTGTCTCTTCTCCCCCTCTCGCCAGGCACGGCAGGGCTTCCTGCCCCTGCCCAAATTGGATGCAATTTGGGGGTGGCAGGTGGGGAGGGTTGGGGCTGGGAAGACGCGAGATATGTCTTACCTGCCTTGTAGCTCCGTCGCGTGTCTCGCCGTTGTCTACAGGCAAACATGTAGGGTAAAAAAACCCTCGAGAGTTCAATCAAATTTCTCGAACTCACGAGACGTTTGGTTTTACCCTACAACGTGTTCGCCTACAGACAACGGCGAGACACGCAACAGAGCTGCAAGGCAGGTAAGATGCGCATCTCGTGTGTCTCCCCGGCCCCTGGCGGGGTGTATGTGTGAGAAGAGATGGCAAGAGGAGCGAGCCCCATCTCACTCCACATGTCTTGCTTCTCCCCTGCCCCACATATCACACCCATCGATAAAGAGTCAGGTGCTGTGGAAAAGGGAGCCGGGCAGGCACAGGCTTTGGGTGTCTGGGGCTGTCGGGGTCACCCGGCGGAGAGGCGGGAGCGGGGCAGGAGTTTGCAGGCAAGGGGGATGGATGGATGGATGGGAGGTGGGTGAGTGCCAAGAACGCCGGGGAGATTCCCACCTTTGGTTGCCCCAGCAAACAGCTGACGAGTGGCGCAACACAGTGAGGTGGCCACACTCGCCGCCTCCTGTACCCCCAAAATAATAAGACCCCCGATAATAAGGCCAAGTCCTTATTTCGGGGTTCAAATAAATATAAGACAGGGTCTTATTTTTGGGGAAACACAGTATACCAGCCACTTCACTTTCCACTTGCTCCCTAGGATCATGTTGACTTCCAAGGGGATTAGGGGGTCCTCAGATTTTTCCACCTTCCCTACATTCGCGGCCAAGCGGTCTTCAGTCCCTGGTAGGGGGCATCTCTCCGCTGCTCCCTTAAGCTCATTGGTTGCAGTTCCACCTCTCGGCTCTCTGTTTGAGCTTCTGGCTGCGCCCCTACCTCGGTCTGCAACACCACCAACTTCTGCTTCTCCTCCGGCTCCTTGTCTATTTCCAACATCTCAGGGATTCTGATCTCCTGGTGGGGTCAAGGTAGACACTATTGTGAAAGCTGACTTAATATCAACCTTCCCATTTGGCACATTCCAAGAACTGGATGGGTATCTCATCTCCAGTGGCAGAGGCTCTTATGCATTCCTTAGCCTCCCCCCACCCTAAGAATTTAACAAACCCCCTCTCATTTCTGTCTGGAAAATTGCGAGCTGGAAGTTGATGCAGGCAATGAAGAAAGCGAGTCAGCTTTCATAATTGGTCTGTAAGCCCTTCTCCTCCTCTTCTTCCTCCTCCGCTTTCCCCCTTTTGAGCCTTCTGGGTGCACACTATCACCAACTTGAGTTCAGGGCATCCACACTTCCCCAGGCCCCAACTGTGTCCCTGCCCCCACCCCATGGAAGCCTCTCCAGCCATCCAATTGCTCAGTTTGAGCAGTTTGCATTTCCAGCCTCCTCTTTCCAGAAAAGGGAGCCCTTTGAAGACCTTGGCCCCACAAACCGAAGGAGGCAGGCGGAAGTGAGAGACAGCATCTTGCTTGGGCTGAAAATGGCCATATGCTTCAGCTCATCCATTCATCCAGAGAGCAATGCCTTTGGCGCTGAGAGAGCATTGGAGCATTGTCGAGAAGATGCAGAGGCCATTTATCCCGTGTTTCCATAGTAATGCTCAGCCCTCTGAGCCACACAAAGGCCCCCGAATAAAGACAAAGGAGCAGCCATTCCAGATGGCACACCGAGGGAAGCCAAGCCACCGACAGGCCTCCCAGAGAGGCAGAAGCCTGTGTGACTTCTTCTTCTGGAGGTTTACAGCTCACTCTTTACAAAAATCGCCAGGGCTCTGCACCTTTTCCCTTGCAATGGCATCCGAGGGCTGCCCTGACCCTTTGGCTGATGCCTCCTCAACCCTTTCCAGCTCCCAAGACGGCTGCTGGATCAGCTCAAATCAAACTGGAAAGAATGTAGAGATCTGGAATATTGCATCCAATATAGAAGGGTGCTGAGGAAGTGAAAAGAGTGCAGAAAAGAGCAACATAGCTTGTGAGGAAGTTGGAGGCTAAATCCTATGGAAGAGACGGGGGAGGGGTGAGAAGGAGAAAGGGAAGGGAAGGGTGTTCAATATAACCATTTGTCACGGATGGTCTGAGGATTCCTGCCCTGACGGAGGTTTCTACTAAGGCCCCCAAGTCCCACCCATCCCTATCATCTGCTGTTCTCCACGCTCAGAACTTCAACTGGTATTACTGGACATGGATTCCAATCCAGTCACAAGGGGGAACTTGATGTCCCTGGGATCAGTCATCATTGTGATTAGATTCTTAATATCTATCAACTAAAATAATTTTGTATAATTTGAGTAAAATAAAAATATCTTTGAAAGATCAAATTTCATTCCAATCCCCTTCGGATGTGAGGATGTGGTTGGAATGCTGGCCTAGAAATCAAGAGATTGTGAGTTCTAGTCCTGCCGTAGGCATGAAAAATCATCTGGGGGCCTTTGAGCCAGTCCCTCTCTCAGTCCAAGCCACCTCACAGGAAAAATGAGAGGCGGAGGAAGGAGTATTAGGTATGTTCGTCACCTTATTTACAAAAAATAAGGTGGGATTTAAAAAAAATCTAAAATTAAAAACTAATAGTAATAAATAAAATGTCTCCCCTCACCTCGGTAACTGGACAAGCAGCTGTGCTCTTACGATTTTACTGTAGGACAATTTAAGGGCAAAGGCTGATGAATTCCTCTGGCATCATTTTCACTTACAGCCAGCCTCACCAGCCAGAAGGAAAAAAACCCATAACTGTACCAATTGCTTTCTTGGTTAAGGTGGGAAAGGGTTGCTGGCCTGAGGGACAAAGGCTTGGCCTCTTTTCAACTGACCAGGTTGCTGGTGATGAGATGCTCCTCACCTGCTAGATGGATCATCTGTTGTATTTGGATGGCGATCGGCTGGTCTTTCAGAGGAACTTTGTTCATCCTCTGAAAGACCAGCCGATCGCCATCCAAATACAACCAAGTTCATTGTTGGAGGGGGACAGGAGGGGATGTGGGTTGAACTGGGAGCAAGTTCAGAAGGCACATTGGGAGAATTTCCTTAACGAGCCCTGAAAGTTAAAAAAACTTAAGAAGCAAGAACCTCAGCTTGTGGAAAGATCTATGTTACTGGTAAAACAATGAAACAGAAACTTGAAGATTTTTCAAATAAATTCTCCAGATCAGTGTTTCTCAACCATGGCTACTTTAAGATGGGTGGACTTCAATTCCCAGAATCCCCCAGCCAGCATGATTCTGGGAGTTGAAATCCATCCATCTTGAAGTGGCCACAGTTGAGAACCAGTGCTCCAGATAATTCATATCTCATGTAATGAAAGGAGGTTACTCTGAGCCTCTGTTTCACATTGCCCCCTTTCCTGACCTAAGGAAAGCTTTCAACGATAGCTCATCTTGGCTGGTCTATTTTGGGACACAGATTTACTGCTCTTTCCGTCACTTGGACAGATGCTAACCCAGAGTCTGGAGACTATAAGGAATTAGATGACAGCAATCAGATTTGTATTAAATCCCTGCCAGATAGAGAAGCTGCTCATCTGGATCCAGTCCAATTCCAGGCCACTTTCCTCTACAAACATCCACCTGGGAGGATGTGTGTTGTGACCACCTCCTTCGAAGGGATGGAGCACGAAACAGGTTTTTCCACCAGCGGCTCCAACATCTTGGAATACTCTTCTCTCTGATGGCAGGAGGCCCTGCCCTGCCATCTCCTTGGAAAAAGGAGGAAGCTGTCTCTTCTCCAGGGTCTGGAGGTACGTCAATGTAGAGGATGCTGCTGTTTTAGGTCTACATAAAATATTTTTATATTGATGTTATGCTTTTTATCTTCACAGGCATGTTTTATATTGATTATCATGATAAGCTCCATTTTTTTGATAGGGGTAGCTTACAAATCGCTACAAAAGAGAATAACAGAGTTGGAAGGGATCTTCTAGTTCAATCTCCCGCTCAGGCAGAAACCCTAAACCATTTCAGAAAAATGGTTTTCAAATCTCCTCTTAAAAACCTCAAGTGTTGGACCCCCACACAACTTCTGGAGGCAAGTCGTTCCACTGATTAACTGTTCTGACTGCCACGAAATTTCTCTTTAGTTCTAGGTTGGTTCTCTCCTTCATTACTTTCCATCCGTTGCTTCTTGTCCTGCCCTCTGGTGCTTTAGAGAATAGATTTGACCTCCTCATTTGTGGCAGCCCCTGAGATATTGGAAGACTGCTATCCTGTCACCCCTAGTTCTTCTTTTCATTGAACTAGACATAAATACCCAATCCCTGCAATTATATAATTCCTTATATATTTTAGCCATACAGCGGCTGTCAGGGCAGGATGGATGAAGCAGTCTCACAAACATCTTATCTTCAGAAGTTGTGGGAGCTTCATCACTGGAAGCTTTCAAGAAAAGACATTTCTGACATTTGTCAGAAATGTCGGGTCTCCTGTTTGGGTGGAGGGTGAGCTAGATGACCTACAAGGTCCCTTCCAACTCTGTTGTTCTGTTCTGTTCTGTACTGTACTGTACTGTTCTGTTCTACTATATGGAAACTATGGCCCTTTTACAATCTGTGAACAGGCAGCCCCTTCTGCTATAAACCCACGAAAATGAAGGCCCTTGCAGTGGCCACCAAACTCGGAATAAAATGGTTCCAAGTGGGAGATGGTGGAGAACAGGAGGAGATGAGGAAGGAGGGGATGTGAGCCCAGTCATACCCAATAAAGCCCCTGCAGTGCTTCACTTGGAGCCTGGATCACTACCTCCTTCAAGGTAGCTCTTCTCCTCATTTGAACAAATACCTGTATCAGGAAGTGAAATGGATTCATGTCCTGGGCAGGCCTGAGTGGATGAGCTGGATGGACATGCAGGTGCCGGCAGAGGAAAGAGCCCAATTCTGCATCTCCTTCAGTTCAGAAAAGAGGGCTTGCAAACTGCCTCTCGGTTGCAGACAACGGGCGAGCTTTCCAAGCACAGTCCAGGAAAACACAAGTGCCCAAGTTTATCTCCTCAGCTCAACAGTTCATCGGTTTGCCCCAACAATTCCTTTGCAAGGATTTTGTCTGGGAGCAGAGGCAGCCATTTCAAGCCCTCCCTGCAATTTTTCAGCTTTTCTAAAATGGATGCTCCATGCCTTCCTATTATCATTTCATTTCTTATTCTAAGCAGAATTGCTTGTGATGGAAGCAGATGGGACACAGCTGTCTCTTAATTAGGCCAGTTCATGTTGCCACATGGATCCAGATTTCCTTGGGGAGAAGGCCAAAACAGATTCGTGGGTAATGATGTATCTAATGGCCTCCAGCAGAAACCCCTGGGATTCAAGACACTTCCAATCAAAATACTACAAGAGATGTGTTCCACCCCCACTGCCCCATTCTCTCCTGCGGGCTACACAACCCTTCCTTCTGTTTGGCATGTTGACACACTCAGAAAGTGTCAACAAGAGGTTTCAGGTACATCCATGACCTGGTGGGCCATGACCTAGTTTGAGGAGAACCCTTGGGAACTGTCTTGGGAGAACTGGCCAAAGAGATTGCTGCCAACTATGTTTCCCTCCCATAAACCTTGGTTTGGTGTGGAACAGGAGGAAGAAAGGGCACCTCAACGCCTAGGCAAGGTTGGGTCAGAAAGGTCCCCCGTGCCTTCTTCTGAGAAAAGTGAACTACCCCAATCTGTAGTGGTGAAGCAGTGACTCCTGTCATGGGAATGCCAGACTGAAAGGTGAAAGGCAGGTCAGGAAATCCCAAGAAATGATTAACTCCGAGGGCTCTCCAGCCAAGGGCCTTCCCCTCACCTGTTCTGCCCTTCCTTTGGGGAAGACATAATTGACCTTCGTTCACTTCAAAGTAGCCCAGGTGATCCAGTGCTTCCTTTTCAATACTTCTATGCCACCTTTGTGAAAGAAAGCACAGAATTGGAGGAGGCACAGCATCCTAATACAGAGCCCTAACTGTAATAAAAAGCCACACGTAAACAGATTTAATTTCAAAATGTCTGCAGAAAAAAACACACCTTCCTTGTCCTTCAAGAGAGGAAAGCTCTTCAAAAGAAACCTTCTGCAGGCAGGGCCATCTTAACAGCATTATAGGCCCCGGGCAAAGCAGTTTCCTGGGGCCCCTGCGACAACTACTCACAGGAATAAAAATGTAAATGGTTGATAAAATTAAACATATATTTATTTTGTTAGCACTTCCAACGCGGTGTTGAAACATTAAAAACATTCTGTGCAACAACAACTAATCATCATGATAAACATTTGAACAACGCGAGGCTTGAAAACCACAATAATACTCAGTAAGCCATACAGGTGCTGTATTTATATGATACAAGGTGCATTGAAGGGTTAACATACACAGATTAGTATGGGGCCCCTATGCAAGTGCCCATCAGGCCCATTGAGACAGCCCTGTCTGCAGGTACAGGCACCCCCTGACATCACCTGCTCCTAAGCAGACTTAAGCTTCTAAAGAGACAGCTGGCAACCAGTGTGGGTCTTTTGATGGGGGGAAATGCCAAGCACAGAACACAGACTGACCTACCACACTTTGTGGCAATGGAAGCATCCAGAAGCTCTCCGAAGAATAGCCCTACTCAGAGCTGACCAAGCCCAATGCAAACCAGAGTACGGATAACAGGAGCTACATCAGAGGAGGGTCAGAGCTGGTACCGCAGCTATAATTCTGCTTCCTCCCGAGAAGCCCTGAGGCAGCAGAAGACCAAGAGGCCTTCCAGGCGCCCAGCGTGACACATCAGAAGCCTTTCTGGGACAGATTCAGTCCCAGCCCTTGGACCTGCCTTGCTGCTGCTGAAAAGCACCTCTCCTTCTCCGGGTTGAACCAGAGCACCCGACCACACAAAGGCAGGAGAAGACAACAGTGGAGAAGTCAAGAGCACACGCCACAAAGCCATGGTCCCAAGCGGGGACAATCTACTAAAGGAAAGCCAACCAGCCTGGCCAGTAAAAAGACCCTCCCTCACCAGAAGAAGCAACACTGCTCCCTACATCCTGATCCCCACACTCATGCCCCTTCTTTTGGCTGGACAGGGGCACCCCTCCCACGAACAGCCTGGACTCTCGCTGTCCCCATTTTCATAGCATGCCTGGGGGGGAAATGGGGGCCCAGAGGGTTTTCTGGAAAAGTGGATCATGGAAGCAGCTGGCACTACATTCCAATTTCAAATTTGAGATTTAGAACCTATTAAATGGAAAGGCGAGGGAGGGGGCAGGGAGCCAGGAAAGCCTTCCTGCCTGTGTCAGTAGGCGCAGCACTTCTCCTGCTGACAGATATTCCACTGCTCCTTGGAGGCTGAGGAGAAAGAGCGAGAGGATCACCAGCAGCATAATAATGGCTGTTCCCTTCAAAGCAGGCAGGCGACTGGCCTCACCCGCCCCAGCTCAGCCCAGACAAAAGCCCAGGGGGTGAGGGATGGAGGGAGCTGGTGTGTCTGGAGGCCCCTCATGCAGCTGGCTGAGGTTCAGTCTCATTGCTAGGACGCCTAGACCTAAAGACCTGGTATTTCGTCTGCAAAGAGATTACACTATGCAGGAATTGAATGGGGCCATTTAAACCACAAAGCCCCCTTCTCTTAGTATCCAAAGTGAAGCATCAACTTAACCAATGGCTGCCCATCTTCCTCTTGGGCACATCCACTTGCTGGAGGATTGCTGGAGGTTTTCCAGAAAAGTTTGTCTGGGATGGACTAAAGTCTCCTGCTTTAGGCAGAAGGTTGGACTAGAAGACCTCCAAGGTCCTATCCTGTCCTGTCCTGTCCTATTCTATTCCCATCCCCATCCCCATCCCCCCACTCCACTCCTCTATCTTCAAATTCTATCTTCTAGTCTGTCCTGTCCTATTCTTATTTGTCCACTGTGGCTCACAACCCCATTCCTTACTGGGCTTAATGACAGCGTGGACACCTAAAACAGGGCAGGACTTCAGCTGTGCCGGCCACCCTGGACCCCTTTGGACCGTTGCAGAGGTCCCTGGATGGCTTTTCTCTGAAGCTGTTTACCATTTAAGTGACATGAAGGGAGTTTCTGGGTGCTCTCAGAGAGACCAGCTCAAAGCAGCCACTGCCAAGGGCTGCATTCACACCAGCAGCTCTTCGAGGCGAAAGGATTGGGTGCAGGGCCTGGCAGGTCAAAAGGCTTCTTCATTTCCCGGTCACTCAAGAATGTACAAGAAAGCCCCCACAAAGGGCAAACTCTTCCCCATGCAGGAAAACTCATCTCTCAGAAAACCAAACATTTTCCGGACCTTTCTGGACCCCAACGTATGGGAGCATAATATCACCCTGAGCATGTCAATCATGTGCACAGCTTCTACATGTCTGAGTCCTGATCCAGAACTCCCCCCTCCCACCATGGCATAAAAGGGGCAGGCTGGCTGATCACTCCCTGGGAGTGGGGGAGCAACTGCAAAGCTGGCCTCCTGGCTGAATCAAAGAACCAGACCCAAAGGAGCCAGCCAGATACACACACTGGCAGCTGGGGGGGGGGGGGCGCCTGCAGGGATTAGTTTCAGAGGTCTGCATTCACCCCCAATCCATATACGATCTGATGCCACAAGATACCAGGGCAGCCATATTCATCTACTAGGGTTCACTTTATCCAATGGGGGCTTAGTCTTGCTACTATAGGTGGACCTCTGCACAGGAGAAATGAGAATTTAAACATTAAGATGATTGGAAGAAAATTGCAGACAACAATAATGTACCATAAAAACACCCACTCCTAAAATAGCTGCTGGCTGGAGAGACAGTACGTTGGTTCGCAAATGTTGTAAAGAAGATCAGAAGGTGCTTCTTTAAATAGTTTTTGCTTTTCCCATTTTCTATCTATCCTGATTTTTGCACTAGGGGTGACATGAGAGCAATATTCCAGGGTATTTGAGGGGCTGCCACAAAGAAGAGGGGATCAAATTATTTTCCAAAGCACCAGAAGGCAAGACAAGAAACAATGGATGAAACTAATCAAGGAGAGAAGCAACCTGGAATTAAGGAGAAACTTCCTGACAGTGAGAACAATTAACCAGTGGAACAGAAGTTGCCTTCAGAAGTTGTAGCTGCTTCAACATTGGAGGTTTTAAAGAAAAGATTGGACAGCCATCTATCTGAAATGTTATAGAGCAGTGATGGCTAACCTTTTCCGGACCGAGTGCCCAAAGCGCAAGCATGCGCACGCTTGAATCAGCATGCACTCTCGAATCCGTGCGTGTGCGCCTGAACCCACAAAATGCAATGCGGCACGGCCTCCTGCATGCACCCTGCTTCCTGTGCACATGCCCCCATGTGTCCCTGGGTGTGCACACATGCCTCCCACATGTGCCCCGCCCCCCAGCAGAGACCTGAAGACCAGCCAGCCAGTGGGAGGCATGCATGCATGTGCAGCAGAGCTGAACTGAGGCAATGGCTTGCATGCCATCAGAAAGGGTGCCGCGTGCCACTTCTGGCACACGTACCAAAGGTCCACCACCACAGTTATTGAGTCTCCTGCTTAAGCAGGGGGTTGGACTAGAAGACCTCCAAGTCCCTTCCAGCTCTATTTTGATTGATTGGTTTTTTTCTTTTTTCTTTGTCATATATTTTTTTATGGCTATCTTTTTTTCTTGTAAAAATCTTTCATAAAAATTATTTAAGAGACAGTTTTTGGACACTAACGCTGACATTGTTTAACATAATTTGTTTACTTGTTGATGGACACCCAGAATAATTTGATACCCTGTTTCCCCCAAAATAAAACACCCCCTGATAATAAGCCCAATCAGGCTTTTGAGCGCATGGCAATAAGGCCAAGCGCTTATTTCAGGGTTCAAAAAAATATAAGACAAGGTTTTATTTTCGGGGAAACATGGTATAATATGGGTGATCATATAAATGTCTTAAATCAGTAAATAAAATATACTGGTCACCAGACGCAGCTGACTTTCAATCCCCTCCATCCCTCCCAGGTGTAGAATTGAGTTGTGTTCAAGTCTGAGGACCCCCGGGCCCCCCTGCAGAAGAAAAGCTTTGTCTTTTTAATAGGACAGACATTGAGAAAGGGGGGCTTGTCCAGCAGCCTCAGAGCTGAGAATGAGCCAAGAGGGTGGGAAATCAGGTCGTCACCTTTGAAAGGACAAACCAAGAACCTTTGGTGAGGAATACTGCATACAATTACTTTAAATTCAGCTGGTGGGAGGGGGAATTAAGTTTACTTTTATTGTCCGTAGTATTTTAGGTTTTCTGAGACTGTCCAGTAAATTGAGTGATTTTGCACAGAGTTGCACCAGAAGCAGGATCTCAGCACAAGTCAGGCTCTTTCAAAGCTTTGTTTTCCTGCATGCTTTTTCTACCAAAGGTTCCCCGTTGCTTTTTATGTCCATAGCTGAATTTATTTATTTATTAAACTTATATGCTGCCCATCTCTCCAAAGGAGACTCCTTGACCGAATGCTTTGCAGGTCACTATTTAAAGTTAAAACCCATTTCCTTCAAATAAAGTCAGACAATATTTATACCTTGGGCTTTTATTATAATTGTCTACATGACTATGAGCTGTTTGGGAAGAATGGTTAAAGGTGGGATCTAAATTACTATGACCAATAAGTTGACCTTAAGTTGTGACCTTTGGCTCAGTTCTCAGTGGCTGAAAATCCACTCCATCTGCCAGCATCAATGAGGCAGGAGCACAGAGAGGGCTCGCAATCTGGGAGTCCTCCTGGATACGCAGCTGTCCTTGGAGGAACATCTGACGGCTGTAATCAGGGGGACCTTTTGTCAGGTTCGCCTGATCTGCCAGTTGCGGCCCTTTCTTGATCGGGATTCCCTGTGCACAGTCACTCATGCCCTCGTAACCTCTCGCCTTGACTACTGCAATGCTCTCTACATGGGGCTCCCCTTGAAGAGCACCTGGAGGCTCCAACTGGTCCAGAATTTTTTTTTTTTTTTTTTAATTTGATTTATATGCCGCCCTTCTCCGAAGACTCAGGGCGGGTAGTGACGGGAGCAGCATGGCGCTCCCATGTAACACCGCTCCTGCGCGAGCTGCACTGGCTCCCAGTGGTCTTCCGGGTGCGCTTCAAGGTGTTGGTTATCACCTTTAAAGCGCTCCATGGCATTGGGCCTAGCTATCTCCGAGACCGCCTGCTGCCACCGACGACCTCCCATCGACCCGTGCGCTCCCACAGAGAGGGCCTCCTCGGGGGGCCATCAGCCAAACAATGCAGGCTGGTGACCCCCAGGGGGAGGGCCTTCTCTGTGGGGGCTCCCACCCTCTGGAATCAGTTGCCCCCAGAGATAAGGAGAATCCATGACCTCAGTGCCTTCCGCCGTGCCCTTAAAACCTTCTTTTTCCAACAAGCCGGGCTGGCCTAATTCTTTTTAAGTGTTTTTAATTGTTTTGTTTATCGTTTTAATTAATGGGGCCAAATTTATATATATATTTTAACTGTATTTTAATATTTGTATTTGATGTTTTTATTTGGCTGTTCACCTCCCTGAGTCCTCAGGGAGAAGGGCGGTATACAAATTCAAAATAAAATAAAATAAAAATTGCCACTTGCCTAAAATTCTGGAATTCTGCTTTTCTAGACATCGCCTTCATTTCATCTTTCCTGCCTGCGTTTTAAGATATCAAGCGGCCGCTTGCCTGGGCTGGTTCACTTGAGGACTCGGAGGGGGGGGGGTTCCGTGCTTGCTACTGCCTGCCCCGCCTCCCCCAGGCAGAGGAAGACGCCTTCTGGACTCCTCCAATGGAGCCAGACGATGCTGGTTTTGAATGACACAAGATGATTCTGCAGGAGGGGGGATGGAGGGGATCATTGAGCACTGAACGGCCTGCATTAGGAGTGGGGTGCTCTGCTTCTGGGCATGGAAATCACTCTCTGGTGCCCCCCTGAAGATTCCCGGAAAAAAGGCCCTGAGGAAGGGGGCGACTGAGACTCTACATGGGGGGGGGGGCAGCAGGTAGCAGCCAGAGGTTGTTTGGGTTGACCCAGGCAGCCACCAGGCAGCTTCCTCTCCCCTCCCCTGTGCCAGAGCAGCAGCAGGTGACTCCATGGGGCCGGTGGGAGGGTGGGGTGTGTGTGCCAGCTGCTGCCATTGCTCTGCAATCTCTTGGCTCTCCCTGAGCTGGCAAAGCAACACCGAAGAAGCTACACCAAAGAGAGAGAGGGAGGGAGGGAGGGAGGGAGGGAGGGAGGGAGGGAGAGAGAGAGAGAGAGCAGAAACTGGCTGAGGTTTCTTTTCTCTTGCAGGAAGAACAGGCAGAACTGGGAAGAAATTCAGAGGAGATGCAAGCCGTTCCAGAAAAGAGGTCTGCCTGGAATAAATTGGAGGATTCGTTGATACAGCATTTATTGGCAGAGGTGAAGGAAAAAGAGTATTTTTGTCAACTTAGTTTTTGGAGGGATATGAAGCTATACAGAGAGCAATCCTTCATCAATATTTATGAAACGGGGGTGGGGGTGGGGGTGGGGGGGAGAATTCTCAACTACTCTGGCTGGGACTAGGAGACGCCAGAAAATCCCTATTCCCCAAATCCCTATTCATCCACTGAGTTGATCTCCAGAGTCATCATGGCCACAAGTTACAGACAGGCTCACTCTCCAGAGATCTCTCCGATGACCATCCAGTCTTAGAATCTGAGACTCATAGGACTGTTAATCATTCGGTTTAGCCTCTTTAGACACTTTATCATCTTTGTTGCTCTTCTCTGTTCATTATCCAGATCTGGAGATGTCTCCAGATGTCTATTTTGTATCATGGTGAACTGAACACGGTAGTCCCAGTCTGATCTCATCAGTGCAGTATGAAGAGGTACTAACACTTCTCGTGATCTTAACGCTCTCCCTCTGTTGAGGCAGCCTAGCTTTTTTGCATTGGCTTTTTTGGCAGCTGCAACACACCGCTGGCTCAAACTTCAGTGATTGTCCACTGGGACTCCTAGATCTCTTTCACAGTTATTATTGCTGAGCCACTACTGTTGAGCTATTCTAAACTTTTGCATGTGGTTTTTCCTGCCTATGTATCAAACCTTCCTTTTCTCACCAATGAATTGCATTTTGTTGCACATTCAAGTCTGTAGAGATCTTCCTGTATCTTCAGCCTATCTTCTAAATGTTGGCCATTCCCTCCTGCTCGGTGCCAGCTGCAAATTGGATGAATTCCCCTTCTATCCCCCCCCCCCCGTCTACATCATGCATGAAGATTTTGGAAGAGTACAAATAGTCCTCAAATTATGACAATTGAGCCCAATATTTCTGTTGTTAAGTGAGACATTTGTTAAGTGAGTTTTGCCTGGTTTTACAATCTTTATTGCCACAGTTATTAAGTGAATCACTGCATTTGTTAAGTTAGTAGCAATCACACTTAGACTGCAGTTTACAGAGTCAGCATATTTTGCCTCCAACAAGTTAGGTAACCCGGTTCTTAAGTGAATGCAGGTTCCCCATTGGCTTTGCTTGTCAGAAGGTCATAAAAGGGGATCACGTGACCCCCGGGAGGCTGTGACCGTCATAAATGAGTCAATTGCCAAGCATCCAAACGTGAACCCCATGGCCCTGGGGATGCTGCAAGAGTTGTAAGTGTGAAAAACAATCATGTCATTTTTTTCAGTGCCATTGTAACTTCGAGCAGTTACTAAATGAACTGTTTTAAGTCAAGGACTACCATACTGGGCGCAAAACAGAACCCTGAGCATGCTTCATACCTCACAGCATGCTTCCCACCATGTAGTAGATGTAATTCCATTGAGGACTACTCATTGAGTACAGTTGGTCAGCCAATTACGACTCCATCTGGTGGTGAAGCTGCCTGCCTCACTTTGGTCTAGCTTTGTGGCTGAAAAAAGTGAGGGCAGAACAGGAGGTCTGCAAACATGGAGAGCCTGGGGAACAGGGCGGGGAGAAGTCCAGGAGTCCTGGGGCTGCCTTGCCCTTTCCGTCCACCCGCCCGCTCATGTTTACCTTCCTTCAAAAGGAAGCTTCTCCCTTGCCCCAGAAGTGTTGCACCAGAAGGTTGCTCAGAGCAAAGCATCTTGGGACTGGGCAAAGGTGAAGGAGGGCAGCAGCTGGAGAAGGACCCAGCAGGTTCATGGCTATGCGAAGCTCTCGGGGCCCTGCCTTCTGCTGATCTCCATATGACCCTCCCCTGCTCAAGAGACCCCCACTTGATAACTGTGCTGGTTCAATCATTCCTCCCTCTAGCAAGGCCCCAGCCTGGCTAGAGAAACGTGGTCTCCTGCACAGAGCTGAAGGGAAGGTGCCACTGGAGCCGCATCCCTTTCCCCTTGGAGAAGGCTAAGAGAAGCCCTTCCCCACTCGGGACCTGCTCCAGGCGAGGGCTCTGCCCACTGCCCTTGAGGAATGGGGGCTCAACAGAGGAGGCAGTGCCATTTAATTGAAATGCCGCCTGGGTCTTCGGAGGTCTCTCTGCTGGAGAGCTAGTCCCTGGCAGCAAAAGAATCAGGAAGCTTTTCCCAACTGGATTGTAGCTTCGATGGGCTGTCAGTTGGAAAAGGGGCTCCAGAGGCCTTGTTTCTTTGGGCTCAGCAGTGCTTCTTTTAGTTATTTTAGAGTTATTTCAGCTAAACGCGGAACAGATGCATGGATTTTATAGTCACATGTTCTGATTAGAATCCAGTTCCTCACATAATCAAGATAATGAAAAATAAATTCTAGAAAATGCACACGTGCACCTGTTTGTTTTTCAAAGGCAATGTGCAGCCTGCTTTAAAACCAGCAACATCGGAGCCTCAAGGCAAGAAAGAGTTGTGTGTTTCATCTTTTCCCCCAGAATGACTTCCGGAATCCTTCCTCTCTGCAAGCAACGGCTCTCAGGGAAAATTCCCGTTTGTACATGTCGTTTACTCTCAGGTTGGAAATGCTTGGAAAGGAAGAGTTTGGAAACGAGACAACTCTCCTCCCACCGCCCAGACCCCTGGAGGAGGGTGAGACCCCAGAAAAGGCCAGGGCCTTTGCAGAGCCAGCTCCTCAATCTCTTTCCCAGGAGACAACGAAAGCCATCGACCCAAGCCTGGCCAACCTAGCGCTGCTACTTCCAAACTTTCAGCCCCAAGAGAGCCGCACTGTCACCGCAGATCAGGTGTCCCTCCAGGCCAGCACAACAGCAGGACCAGGAGCTGAAGAATCCTGCCGCAGCAGAGCCTGTGGCTCCCACATATTGCAGCAGGCAGATAGCTCTCCCGGTGCAGCTTGCAACCTAACACTAACCCTGCCAAGGGTTACGCTGTGCTGAGTCCGCAAGCATTTGGCTGAGGGGACCAGTTCCTGAGGGAAGGGGCAAAGTGAGGGGCCAAGGCTGCTCTGAAGCCTGACCCTGGTTGAAGGGGGGGACAGAGCCAGGCCCCTTCTGCTAAACTGGAACAATTATTCCCATGCATCTCACTAAGTCCAGTGTCCAGTGTTAAGTCACAATGGCTAGGACCATCCATCGCGCTCTGCAGTAAACCAGACTTTGTGGTGGCCGGAAGCTGAAAGCAGAAAACCAGTTCAATACTGGGACTATCCTCCACCGGCAATGGGGAGGGCGGCAGAGGTCCCCGGAGCTCTTCTGCAGCACCCCCAGAACCATGAAGGGGGCAGATTCCTTGTCGGAGCCAATTGAGCTGAGGCCACAAGTAGCCTGGACTCAGGAGCCTCATTTGGGCCCTCAGAACATTCGCGGGGCCCAGCCAAGGGCGGCGTTTTAGCAGAGGCGCTTCCTTCTTGGGGGGAAATGTACTTAAAAGGAATCCCCCCCCCAAACGTAAAGCCCGCCGTTCTCTCCAACGGGCCACCAATCACCCCTCATCGCCCTGGTTGGGGCGCCAAACGCCCGACCAGCCGCCAGCCGCAACGCGCGCCGGCCAAGGACCCGCCGCTAAGAGGCGAAACGCCGCCCCGCTCAGGACCCGCCGCTTCTCCGCGCTCAGCGAGCGGTGGGGCCGGAGAAGCAGCGGCGACCCAGGAGGCAGACGGCCGTGGCCCCGCAGCCCGCCCCGCTCCCCAACGCCGCTTCTGCCGCCGCCCCTTAGCAACCGGCCCAACAGCCCGCCGCGGTTTCGCGCCCAAGTGCCGGCCCGTCTCAGGCAGGACACAGAAAAGGCACCTCGGAGCTCCGGAGCCGAGCCGCGCCGCGCCGGGCTCAGCCTCGCCGGCAGCCCCGAACCCAGCCCGGCAGCATCTCTGCGGGGCGCCCGGAGACCACGGCGTCTGCCTTCCGACGTGACCGCTGCTTCGCACCGGGCGGGGCTTGCGGGGAGGGCTCGGTCGGCGGAGATGCCCCGGCCCGCCCCCCGCCGCGCCTCCCGAAGAGGAGTTTCTTCCACAGCCGCGTTTCGCCACGCAACGCCGCCGGCTCCGCGCCCGCAGCCCCGGACCCCCGCCTGGCCGCCCGTTCCGGCTCCCGCCCGCCGAGCTCCCTGCGTGAGGCCGCCGGTCGCCAGGCCGCCACCGGCGCGGCGCTTCCCGGAGCGGCAGGCCCGGAGAGCAGCCCGCCCGCCCGCCGAGCTCCCGGCCCCGGCGCCGGCTCTCCCCGCAGCCCGTCCGCGCCGCAGCCCCCACCTGGATGGTGCACGAGTACTCGTTGTCGTCGAGGAGGCGGACGGTGCAGCTGTAGTCGCGGTCGAGGCTCCTGCTGCTGCCGCTCATCAGCCGGCTGAGCATCTTGGCCGGGGCAGCGGCGGCGGACGGGGGCTCCGCGCCGGCTCCCTTCACATGGCCGGAGCAGGGGGCTCCCTGGCGGGCGAGGGGGGGTGTCGCCGCCGCCGCCACAGCTGCCGCCGCCGCCGCCCGCCTCGGCTCGCCTCGCACAAAGCCCGGCCGGAGGGAGCGCGGCGGCCAGGCGGCGAGCGGCGCGGCTTTCGGGGGCGGGAGGGGGAGGGGCGGGGGCTGCGCCGCGCAGAGCCAGGCTGGCGGGTTCGCGGCCGCCGAGGCCAATCCGGGCCCGGCGCCGCCTCTGACGAGCTCGCGCGCAACCCAATGTGCCGCTCCGCTCCTCTCCGCTCCGCTGGGGGGGGGGGGCTCTCCGGCGGCGCCTGGGAAGCTGCCGCAGCTGCTACCGCGGTGACCCCCCTTCCCCGAGGCCCCTGCAGGGCCAGAACGCGCCGCCCCCGAGGAAATGGGGGACGGGGGCAGCAGCCTCTCGCTCGGTCACGGCCGGGGCGACCGTCTCGGAGGCGCCGCTCTGCGGAACCGATCGCGGGGAGGGGGGCTGGGCGCCTCGGGGAGCGGTGCCCGCAGCCGGGCCAAGGGCGCGGAGGACGCGGAGCGGCCGCCGAGGGGCTCACAGGAAACCCGGAGCGCTTACATGGGCGGCGGGGATGCCAGCCCTGCTAGTGGCGAGTTCAGACGTGCAGCTGAAATGCCGGCAGGGGCTTCAGAAACGCCGCCGCCGCTGCCCCCCCCCCCCGCCACGGCCTCTTCCGACCCACCCGTCGCAGGAGCTCAGCCTGGAAGTCCTGACCCGTGAATCGTCTCAAGGGCCGGCAGCGCTTTTACACCTGGCCTTACAACTTAACCGCTGATCACCACCTGGCACTTTCAGCAGAGCCAGTAAGCAGTAGATGAAAGTGGCAGGTAGCAAAGGTATTCAGGCAGCTAAACAGGTGGCAGAATTGTGTCAGAACCAGACAATTGAGGACCCAAGTGGTCATCCAGCCCAACCTCCTGCTTAGTACAGGATGGCCTAAAGCATGGTGGACAAAAGCCTGTCCAGCTTGTGATGCTGTCCATGGGGCAGGGTTTTTTTGGGGGGGAGGAGGGGGGCCTGGAAGCAACATGGGCTGCTTTGTGGATTGTGGCTCTGCCTGGAGAACCTGAATTCCAGACTGCCTTCTGGAACTGCCCCCAGTTTCCTCATTGGCAGAGAATCCAAAGGGCTTGAGGAGTTTGGCCATTGCAGCAGCTTAGGGGAAGTGAGGAGATAAAGCTGCTGGCAATGGGGAGGAGCAGGGGAGGGTCCAAAGAAGGCCAGTGGGAGCGCAGGACAACCAGAAGGCATGAGAACCTTGAACTAGTTGAAATGAAAGCGCTCCGGAGCCGCCTCCACTGCATGCCAGGCCACGAAGGAACCAGCAGAGGTTTTCGCAGCGCCTAAATTCTTACTTAGCTCTGTGAACTCCTGGAAGAGTGGCAAGATCCAAGATGACTCCAGGACAGCAAATGTCACCCCCAACTTCAAAAAAGGGAGGAAGGAGGGAAATTACAGAACTGTGTACCTCAAGCTGATCCTGGGAGAGATGGTCAAAATTATGCTTGTGAATTCTTGGATAGGAATGCAACAATTAACAAACAACAGCCAAGGCTTGTTACAAACAAGTCATATCATCTTTCTCTTTGGGGGGTGGGAGGAGGACAGAACTATTAGCTTAATAGAGATGCCCTAGATATAATACACCTTGACTTCAACAAAGCTTTTAAGGGTAATGTTTAATAATGATATTCTCCTTAATAAACTGGTGCAATATGGGTTGGATGATATGGATGTTAGGTGGATTCATAATCGGCTGAAATACTACCGTAGAGAGTACTCACAAATGGCTCAGAGTTCAATTGGAGAGTAGACCTGAAGGGTCAGATCATCCTGGAGAAGGCCGGAGTCACTAAGAGTTGACACTGACTTGATAATCGTCACTGAATAGACTGCCACCTGAGGACTGTATTCAATATTTTTAAAAATAACTTTGTTGAAGGGTTTGTGGGAAGATGATCGTATTTTCAGAGGAGCTGGCACCAGGAAGAGTGGCTGACACTTTAGAACATATAGAGGAGAAATAAAAAGGTCTAGGGGGCAAACTGGAATATTGCTCCCAAAGTGATGGGGGTTGCTTCACATGAGAAGGATCTGTATAAGAAATCAAAGTTGAATGTGAGTCAACAGGGGCGATGCAGATCAGGGGTGGGTTCTACTTACCTTTACTACCGGTTTGCAACGGGGCTGCCTGCGCGCGCACTCTTCTGTGCATGCGCAGAAGCATTCTGATGACGGTAGGGTCGGTGGGCGGAGCCTCCCGCCGGTTTTACTACCAGTTCTATAGAACCGGTGCGAACCGGGGGCACCCCACCACTGATGCAGATACCACAAGACAAATGCTTTCTTGAGATGCATTAACAGGACCATGGAGTCCAGATCACAGGAAGTAACTGTCCCAACGTTGTCCCAATCAAACCCCACTTGGCCTAACGTGCAGCTAACATGGTGAGGGAGATAGCAATCAAATCCTTTGAAGAACCAGGTAGAGAAGGCTTCAGGGAGATTGACTTGGGTTGAGAAGCAGAGTTGATGGCCTTCTGGGTGCTTTTTGCCTGGCAGAGTGGCTGTTTACTCCATGCAGCTTTGCATTTCTGGGTTCCCATGTCCATTTTGGGAGCCTGGATCTTTTCTCTTGATCCAGTCCGTCTGTATGGAGAGGGAGGGCTTGGGCAGCACAGTGGGGCTTCCAGGGGCCCAGATGTTTGTTCCTGCTGAACAAACTAAGGCAGAACTGGCTGATAGACTATTAGTGTCTCATATGGGCTAGGGTGACTTGGGTTTCCCAGGTCTGGTATATGTTGCAAATGATTTCAACACCAGCCACAAGAGGAGCTAAAAAAAGTATTACTCCAACTTTAACCACAAAAGATTAAATCCGTCCATATAGCCATTCTCATTTTTAAAAACCAAATTTTAATTAAACTTTTAAAAAGTTAGGCTTTTTAATTTTATAATTTTTAAAAATTGGTATAATTTTCTAAACTAATTTTTATATATAAATTTAAATTTATTTTTTTCAAAAAAAAATATATAGTTTCTAAAATTTATTTTAAAATAAATTTTAATTTTTTAAAAGTAAACATGAATTTTGTAAGTTTAATTCTTACATTTTTATATAAATGTTAAACTTTTATTTAGAGTTTTATATTTTTATTTTAGACCTTTACATTTTTATATTAGATTTATATTAGATTAGATTTTATATCATCTTTATAAAGTTTTTAATTTAAACAAAAAATAAAAAAATCTATTTTAAAATCTTTAATTATATTTTTAAAAATCCCATGGAATCCCATATTGTCATGAAAAAAAATCTAACAATGTTTTGATTTGCAAGAATATGTCCCATGTATGTACCCTCAGAAGATCCAAATTAAATCTGTACCAAATGTAAATTAAGAGCCTTGGTAGTACAGTGGTCTAAAGCACCCTGTTATTAAGACCAGCTGCCTGCAATTACTGCAGGTTCGTATCTCGCCAGGCTCAAGGTTGACTCAGCCTTCCATCCTTTCTAAGGTAGGTAAATTGAGGACGCAGTTTGTGGGGGCAATAAGCTGACTTTGTATAAAATATACAAAAGAATGAAGGCTATTGCTTAACGCATTGTAAGCCGCTCTGAGTCTCCGGAGAAGGGTGGCATATAAATAAATCAAATAAAAAAAAAAGAATTGAAACACTTGAGAAAAAAGTTAACAACCTAGAGGAAAAAGCAAAGGGTCAAAGGCAGCAAATAGTTTTTGCACACACAACCAAATTCTGTATATGTGCAAATGAAGCTTTACACACTCACTCATAACTCGCACCGCCTGGTTCCCAATGGTCCGTGTGTGTATGTATATATATATATCTCCACTTCTTTTGTTAAGCCTGTTTCCTTTGAACAATTTAAATCCAAATTAATTAAGATCTCATTTGCACCAACCCATTCGGGATCTTCCCTGACTGAAGTTGTAGCACCTTCAAATTCTTCCCTGGAAAATGGGAAACCTAGGACTGACAATGTACAGTTAAAAGTTTTCAGTTGTTCAAAAGAAAATGTCTTAATAAAAGCTAAAACTCAGAATGAACTAATCATTGCAACAAATGTCAACAATAATTAATAAAACTTCTTTCAACATATAAAAAAAACAAAAAAGTGGTCAAGGAAATGATTGGTCCACTATTGGAAGAAGATATCAAGGAGGAAACGGGCATCAGGGAGAAAATGGAACTGCTTAACTCAATCTTTGCATCTGCCTTTACACCAAAGGAAAAAATCATCCAACCTATTTAAAAAAATCATAGATTTTTTATCAAAAAGACAAAAATGGGATCTCAGAACCACTAAACCATATCTTTTAAAGATCTTGGAGCACAGGGAAACTACTACAGGACTGGAAAAGAGCTTATATGGTTTCCATCATAAACAAGGGGGGGGGAGGAATTACTCCAGAAAACTACAGATCAATCAGCCTTACATGAGAAGATCCTGGAAAAGATAAATCAAGCAATGAATTGCAAATACCTAGAAGCAAGCAAGGTTATTAGAAGCCTATTAGAATTTGCCAAAATAGATAATACCAGACAAATCTTAGTATATTTTTTACAAAATGAGCAGCAATATGCGCTTCAAGGTGTTGGTTATCACCTTTAAAGCGCTCCATGGCATAGGGCCTAGCTATCTTCGAGACCGCCTGCTGCTACCAACGACCTCCCATCGACCCGTGCGCTCCCACAGAGAGGGCCTCCTCGGGGTGCCATCAGCCAGACAATGTAGGCTGGTGACCCCCAGGGGGAGAGCCTTCTCTGTGGGGGCTCCTACCCTCTGGAATCAGCTCCCCCCAGAGATAAGGAGAATCCAAGACCTCAGTGCCTTCCGTCGCGCCCTTAAAACCCATTTATTTAAACAAGCCGGGCTGGCTTAAGATGAAATTTTTAACTGTTTTAAACGTTTTTAATTGGTAAATGAGTTTTAATTGGGCCAAATTTATATATCTTTTAATTGTTTTTAATATTTGTTCTGCATGTTTTTTAATCTGGCTGTACACCGC